ACCGGTTTCGGGGCCTCAGAGCAGCCCTTGATTTCAGTATTAGTGTCATACATTGAATACAGCAAACGCCTTAGAGCTCACCTATTTTTTATTCATAGGGAGCCTGTTAGAAATTTTTGTTTGTTTCAAAGAGAACACATGCTTGTTAGAACGGCAAATATACTCTCTGCCATATGTGCTGAGGAAAGCTGGTAAGTCTGTCAGCAGTAAAAGTTAATGTATGGATTTGTGACTTGATAGCAGCAGCCGTTTTTGTGCATTTGACACCCAGTACTTTCTTGTGGTTTTTATCAACAATTGCATGCCATGTGCAGCCTTTTGTAGTGAAGACTGTACTTTTCTGTACTACTATGCGATGTTAAGAGGTGTGTAAGATTTTTTTCTATGAAGGTAAAATGTCTGTATAGGAATAAACATGTTATTGACTCCCACTCAGATTCCTCAATTCTTTGGGTTTGGGAGCTTTTATGAATTAAATTCAGCCAGTTGTCTAATGAATGGATTAGATCTTCCAGATAAAATTAATAATTATGGCTCTTTAACTGTTTGCCCAATGATTATCTTGTTTATAATTTGTCAAAGCTTATTGTAGAAAATTGAGATGCCACAGGACAGCGTAAATGGATACAGATCACATAGTTCAGGAGGCAGTATTTCAAACCTTCAACTCCACAGTTAATTCTTTTCATTGGAAATAAACTGAGAAAATAGAAAAAACACCACCCCAGGAATTATAAAAAACCAAAAAGTGTTCAAGTCAGCGCAGTGCAAACATGTCAAAACTGATACTAAACCAGTACCATATACAGTCTTTACACAAGCAAAATAGAAAGATGGGTACATATCCTTCAAAACAGTTTTTTAGACATTTTTCTGTATCTTCTTTAAAAAACCAGTTACCTGCTTTGTGTTTAAAATAGTTCAGGGCAAAGGTATGAATAAGTTCTGTCAGTAACTAGCTTATCACTTTGCTTATATGCTTTGGTTTCTTCCCTTTATCAGTATAATCCATGAGTAAACTGTAAGACAGTGTTAATTTGCTATAATAGGTTTAAAAGTTAAACTAACCCTTACCTTATTGGATTCAGAATTTGAAAGTGTTAACCTAGAGCAAGAAAGAGATTAACATTCATAATGAATGCTAACATTCACCAGCTCCATACAATTCACTTCTAAATCTGACGTGGGACAAGTGATAGTTCAAAGTGCATGCAATTGCGTAGTCCTAACCTAATAAATATTTTTAAATGGATTTGGTCACTTCAGTCTATGTGTTAACATGCCATTTGGAATACTGATGTACCAGTAATAAAGATGTGATGCTTACCTTGTTTTCTGAACAGAACTAATACAGTATTTTGATGTATCACAGGTAAATTTTTCCATAACCTTATGGAGAAAAAGGACTTTGAAGCATGGCTTGATAACATTTCTATTACATTTCTTTCTCTGACGGACTTGCAGAAAAATGAAACTCTGGATCACCTGATTAGCTTGAGTGGAGCAGTCCAGCTCAGGCACCTCTCCAATAATCTAGAGATTCTCCTCAAGAGAGACTTCCTCAAACTTCTTCCATTGGAACTTAGTTTTTATCTGTTAAAATGGCTTGATCCTCAGACCTTACTCACATGTTGCCTCGTCTCTAAGCAGTGGAATAAGGTTATAAGTGCCTGTACAGAGGTGTGGCAGACTGCATGTAAGAATTTGGGTTGGCAAATAGATGACTCTGTTCAGGATCCTCTACACTGGAAGAAGGTTTACCTAAAGGCTATTTTAAGGATGAAGCAACTGAAGGACCACAAAGCCTTTGAAACATCCTCTTTAATTGGACACAGTGCCAGAGTATATGCACTTTACTATAAAGATGGACTTCTGTGTACAGGTAGGAAGGACAGAAAACTTGGAGTCTTACAGTTCTTTGTCTTCTCCCCCCACCCCCTATATGATTAATGACAATTTGCTTTTCCATTAACAGGCAGATTATTTTCATAGTGCTAACACAGTTTAATGTGATTCAAAATTACTTTTTTTTTTTTTTCCAATTTATGGAACACGTGGCACACTAATAAGCTCATTAGGCACTTTAATAGGAAAACAAGGAGACCAGTTTCTTTGTTGGTTTAAAAAAAAAGGTAACAGCAGGTATCATGCTTCAGATTAGTTAGTCCATTTGAAAAGTACCGATGTGTTAGTTATCCTCTTAGAGGATAACTTCCAGTTAAAGAGACCTTGTTTGGGTTATGTGATCACTGCAGCAGGATGTAGCAGGAAAAGTCTGTTGTCTTCCTTGAAACAAGATCATTTCTCTGATACAGTCTGTACACACTTTCAGTTCTTAACATAATATAAGTGCTTGTATGAAGACCTGTAAACTAGACTTAACTTTGCTGCTAGTCTGACTTGGACGTTGTAATGATAATTTCAGCTTCTTCCCTGAAGACTGCAGACTTCAGGACTTCAATTGGAACATAAAAATACAGCCAGAACAAATATGAAACCTTAAGTATGAAAGAATAGTAACAAAGTTACAATGAACTGCTGTCAGAGCATATTGCAAGGATTTGACAATGCTATAGAATTGGGAATACTGGCTAAGTACTCCTACATTTGTTGGGCTGTGCAGCATCCACCCTTGGATATATTAAAAAAACATCTGGTTATGGTCCTGGGCAGCCAGCTCTAGGTGGCCCTGCTTGAGTAGGGGGGTTGGAAGAGTTGACCTCCAGAATTCCCTTCCAACCGTAACCATTCTGTGATTCCATGAAAATACTGTATTTAAGACAAACATGGAAGACGAGTATAGGATTGGAAATACTATATAACTCTTTGCTTCCAATTACCCTGTTCTTTTATATTCTAGGATCAGATGACTTGTCTGCAAAACTGTGGGATGTAAGCACAGGTCAGTGCATATATGGTATCCAGACACACACTTGTGCTGCAGTGAAGTTTGATGAACAAAAGCTTGTAACAGGATCTTTTGATAACACAGTAGCCTGTTGGGAATGGAGCTCTGGGGCAAAGACACAACATTTTAGAGGACATACTGGTGCAGGTATGTTGAACTTTGCAGTTTGTAATTTCACCTGTCAAGTAACATAAATTACAGTTTGTTTGATGATGATGTAAGTTAGCTCTTTGCACGATAGCTTTTTTTTTTAGGCTATCCCAAGTCATCTTTTGCGGGGAGGAGGAGGGAAGAGGAAGCGGCCAGAACAGATCTAGATCTCTCTGCCCTTCAATAATGCCAGAGCTTAGCCATGTAGTGTTTTGCAGCTGCATGGAAATAATACTAAAAGCCATGGTTATTCAGTACTTTCAAGTCTACCAAAAAGATGAAAACCCTAGGTAGCAGGGATTACATGGAAACAGCAGTTCTTTATATCCCCAGACTGGAAATGAGCTTACAGCAAAGACCACAACAGGACTTGGGAATCTGTACTTGCATTTCCCTCGTAATTAACTTCTCTGTCCTCTACTGCAAAATATCCTCAACTCAGCTGTAGGTCTGTTCCCCTGTGAGATGTATCAAATGTACTCATCCTGCTGGAATTGACTTACTAGAACTCTTAAAATAGGAACTAGCTTAAGTTACTCTTTGCCATAACCCAACCATAAATGAACCACTGATGTACATGTACTTAATTTGGGCAAAAATCAGTAATTTTGCAATGTAAGTTAGGAATCCAGAGCAAAAATTCACATATACAGTTCAAGAACAGTTAAAGCTGTAGTAGCGTATGAATTGAGAGCCTATATGACCTAGTTAGTGTCTCACTTACAGGAAAACACGTGCATAGAGACTGGTATTCCTTATTTAGTAGCCTCTTTGCTTGTAGTTTTTAGTGTGGATTACAATGATGAACTTGATATTCTGGTCAGTGGCTCTGCAGACTTCACTGTGAAAGTATGGGCCTTATCAACAGGAACGTGCCTGAATACCCTTACTGGACACACAGAATGGGTCACTAAGGTGGGAATATTGAATTTTAATTAATCTTGCAAAACACTTACTTGCAATAAGTTTGTAACGTGCGTTCTAAATTTCTGTTTTCCAATCCTAACCCTGTACCTAGGTGTAGAATCTGAAGAACAATCAGGAAATACTGCAAAATAACATTTCAGCAGAAAAAATACTTAAAGAAGCTATAATTAAACCTTTTAGACCATTGAAGATATTTCTGTTCCAAAGCAGCTGGAATAATGTTAGGAATCAGTGTTTGATTCAAAGTCTGAGTAAAAGCAATGGTCTGAAAGAAAGCTACTTCAAAAATTCTGTAGAAAAACTAATGATCTAGGTAACCAAAATCTGAGCATGGAAAGTGTTCTGGAGTCAAGAAACAGTATTTTTCTTCTGAGTATTTCAGAACTTGGAAGGTGGGGGGTGATTCTGGAGTTGAAGTGTATATGTTCACTTATTAATACAGTAAGTTGGCACTAGTAGGAACAAGAAAAGTGTAAACTGAGTTTGCCTCCAGTTGCTAAAAGTATTTGTATTGCCTTTATACAAGACTACAGTATGCAGATTGTCAATGAATGAAAAATGCAAACGAAAGTTTGGTTATGTAACAGCTTCAACATAAATCATTATATCCTTCAATTACAGGTAGTTTTGCAGAAGTGCAAAGTCAAATCTCTTATGCATAGTCCTGGGGATTATATTCTTCTAAGTGCAGATAAGTATGAAATCAAGGTATGTACCATATATCATATATATCATTTCCCAGGGAAATAAAATGCTTGAATGCTTCGCTGAAGTTTACAAATAATGTAAGACTTTATTTTCTCCCATATTCCCTGCTTATAAAGTTGTATACAAGACATGCAGCTCTTTGGAAGCTAGCTTTTCAATGCCTTCCTTCATGTTTAGATTTAAATGATACCTTTACACACATAGTAATAAGTGCTTTTGGTGCATGCCTGATGTGCTAACTTGACAGTGAACCACTTAACTGCAGGTACTGTTGCTGTTGGGGACTTTTGGGTTGGAGAGTGCTGTAAACAGTTTGGGACTATGGAAGTGCTTCATAACTGAAACTTGTTACATTTCTGTCCAGTTGCATGGTTGCTTGTTTTGCTGTTCTTCAAAGCACCCATTTTCACTGGGATTTTTTTAGGCTAGAAACAGCACATATGGCAGCAATACTGTAAGACAAGTCACAGAATTGATGTTCCTACCAAAAGGAGATAAATATTTCTGAAAAAACATGCTCACATTTACCCAGTGCTTAAAGACAGACTGTGAGGCTTGCTCTGCTTCTGTAACGGTTTATAATGTGAATGTTTTATGGTCTTAAACTGTGTTTTAATTGTAGATTTGGCCTATTGGAAGGGAAATAAATTGTAAGTGCTTAAAAACACTGTCGGTTTCTGAAGATCGCAGCATCTCCCTGCAGCCCAGACTGCACTTTGATGGTAAATACATAGTGTGCAGTTCAGCACTAGGATTATACCAGTGGGACTTTGCCAGCTATGATATTCTCAGGTAAAACTTTCAGTTTAAGACTTAGTCTTCATTAAATAAATAAAAAGTAGAACATATTAGTTTTAATAACCTACTTTAGATTTAGGCCAAAAGAATCTTGATAAAAATTCTGTGAATACCGTACACATATTGCCAGGTTGAATTCTAGTTTATTGTCTATTAATACAAATCATTTGATTGCTGTTTTTGTATCTGGCCACAGGCTAGTCCCCTCTCACCTTTTCATTCCGTAAGCTGAAGAGCTTCAATAGAGACTTAAATCCAACTCCGGTGTTGTAGTTGTGAATGTGAAACTGTAGTGACTAGAAGTCAATGTTGCTATGGATACTGCTCTGTAGAGAACCAGGCAGCCATTTCTGGGGGTCCTTTGGTGGGACAACAAGTTAAAAAGGCTCTTTTTCCTTATAGCACTACCGATTTGTCATTCTCAATAACGCTGTGCTATTAGACTGCAGTAAGGGATCAAACAGGATGGCAGATTCTTTTTCCATAGAAAGAATGAGGCTGTTATCTGTTAGAAATGGTGGCATCAAAGTTTGTAACTTAGTAAAGAAAAACTTGCATTTTAAAACTGTTATCAGATGCTCAATTGAAATGGCCCAAATGTTTGTAGACTGTGTAGCATAGGAAGATCTAGTCCAAAAGAAGTGCTTATCAGTAAGAATAACTGAGTAATTTAACCTCTTAGTTTATCCTTGCATCTTTCAAAAGAGAAAGATGTTCCCTTACTGCTGAGAACAGATACTCATCTCCATACATTTTTGTGCCTCAGTTCTGTGCTTTATGTAATGCTATGATGAAATGCTCAGTCAGTTGTGGAAAACTTAGTCTCTTCAATTTCTGTTCCGAGATTTACTTATTAAGGCAAAAATATCCTAAAGGTGTAGGGGAACTAACAAATACTTTTTTGTCCTCCCTAAGATGAAAATGCCTAACTTATGCTAAGCATCAGTAAAACAGTGTTAAGAACCGATCTTAAACAATTTCTCTTACCTTCTTATCACAAGAAGGCATTTCTGCATTTTATTTCCAGCTTTTAAAAGAGTGGTCAAAAGAATAATAAGAGATTTTGCCTCTTAATTTAACGATATTGAGGCATGAAATCCTTATGGAAATTTACGGTAAAACACAAGTACATTTGCTCTTTTGTGTGTCTAGTAAAAAGACTTTTTCTTCCTTGTACCATGCAGAATCCCTTTCAAACCCTAACCTTACTTATGTTCAGAACAGTCTGTCCTGAATGCACAAAACCAGAACTGAAACTACAGGCCGGACTGCAGCTAAGTGTTCAGTTGCTTAATTTGAAAAATTTGCATCCAGTTCTTTCTAAATCCTTTCAGAATGATAAGTTTAGACACTTATTTTCTATTGACGCATAAGGATTTGTTTTAGTAATACAAGTTCCTGACTACATCATGACAGAGTTTCTAACAATGTTGTCTTGTTTTCTAGGGTTATCAAACCTCCTGACTTCTCAAACGTGTCCTTGCTGGGCTTTGGAGAGATATTTGCTCTACTGTTTGATAACAGATACCTGTATATAATGGACTTGAGGACAGAAAAACTGATAAGCCGCTGGCCTCTACCGGAGTATAGAAAGTCAAAGAGAGGTTCAAGCTTTTTGGCTGGTGAAATGTCTTGGTTAAATGGACTAAATGGCCAAAATGATATGGGCTTGGTTTTTGCCACCAGTATGCCAGACCATAGTATCCATTTGGTGTTATGGAAAGAACATGGCTGAAAAGCTGACGTATGCAGAATCTTCAGGAATATATGGACTATCAGCAGCGTGTCCATGAAATGAGACTTTGCATGAACCAAAGTTGCACACCTAATGGTATCATCATGCAATGCACAATCATTTACTTTTATTTGGGCATTTGGGAATGGGTTGTTTTGGACATAACGCAATACAGCATGCTAACAGTATTCACCACAAAATTTTGTCTGTGCTCATGTTTAAGCATACCTATTTGAGCTCTGAAGCATAGCTTGTAATGTTTAAACCATTCAAATCCACCATCAAGTCTGAAACAAAGTAGTGCTTGACCTGACTTCTGACCTGTTTTTTGTTGTTGAAACAGAAGGTGAAGCTACTGTTTTAAAACCATAGTTCTTTTGTACATGTAACAGCAAATACTGGTTACAGTGCATGGCTGCTTAACTGATACGAGAAGATAGCAAACACTTTCTCTCTCCAGTATCATTCTCTTGAAAATGTTTTTTTTCTTTATGATAGCTTTAAATACTTATCCTTTGAAATAGAAGAATCAAATGAGTCCTTTAACTAGGATTGGATGCTAACAATAATAATCTAAGTTTGGGAACATGTCAATATGAAATCTCCTCAGCAAGAATAAGCCAACTTTTCATCTACTTGATAGAGCTTACCATCACAATTAACCTTAAAGAGCCCCTGACAGTATTGATCATATTTGCTGATGATAACTCAGAATGGCTCAATCAGAATTTTATACTCCATATTTCCTATAGTTTGTGTGAGAACGTAACTTAGTTCACAGTTAGGTAGATATATAATGAATGGGAAAATGATGTTTAATCTCTACAGCAAGAGTCACTCTTACATTAAATGATGTCTAGCAGCCATTCACTTTTTCCAAAAGTTGCAGTTAATATGATCATGCACTTAAAATAGTTGCTACATTTAGATTTGGAAAGCAGGGACAAATAACAGTGACAATGCCACATTTTGGGGGTGGGGAGGGGGGTGGAAGTCTGAAGAAAAGCGTAGGAGTATAAAAAGGTCTTTTGCTTTGATAATCATAGGAGACCTGATGTGCACACGAGTTGACTATTGAGTAGCAAATACCTATCCACATACTTTTGTGGTATTTGACATGTACTTAAAAGCTGTATCTATGACATCACATGCTTTAGAAATGCTTTAGGTTGGTTTCCCCTCTTCCTCTACAATAAAATCTCCCCTTAATGTCTATTTAAGTTGTTTTTTTTTTTTACACAACTTGAAAACATGAGTTTTCATGAAGATTGGCTCATGTCCTTGAAAAGATAAGACTGCCTAGCATTACTATTGTTAGTATCATTTTTTTTCTTCCCACTGTCCAAGGAGAACTAAATTTATACTTAGTACTGAACAAAGGACAAGGTTCCCAAATGTATGCAGTCTGAATTACACCAATGGAAAGGGAGTTTTTGCATGCAGGAATCAGTATTTGAGTGATGTAGAAATTGCATGAAGTCACAGTGGCACAGTGTCTCTTGAATACAAGGCTAGAGTCTTAAGTACTTGGTTTTCCACATTTATTCACACAAACTTACTTGGAAAATGTGTTTGTGGCCAAGGATTTTATCAATTGGAAGCCAAATTCACAGCTCTTGATTCAGACCACACTGACTGGGGCACAAACGGTGACCTCAGAGCTTTTGTTGTCTCACTCAAAAGTGAAGAAAATTTACATGCAACAGAAAGCTTTCAATAACTTTTCTTGAAACCCAGTTCTCATGATTCTTAATGCGGGCGTAACTATACTGTGTATGATGTGTGCAGTAACTCAACTTATGCTGAAGGAGCCACATGATGATGGGCCACCTATAAAAGATTGCATTAGCTTATGAAAGATTACTTCACAGCAGGAGTTTAAGACAGGAACATGCCAGAAATGTCCTTGAACTCAAATCAGTGAAATACAGAGTGAATATCTGGACTGCAAGATGAGTGGAAACCCAGCTGGCCAGCCAAGCTCAAAGAGTGGTACTCAGTGATACAAAATCTAACTGGTAACCAGTTAATAGATGTATTCTTCAGGGGCTAGAATTGGTTAACTACTTTATTAGTGACCTTTATGATGCAGAGTCCACTCTCAGCAAGTTTCCAACAATACTAATTTGGAGGGGAAGGGGAAACCGTGAGAAGGGGAAGCAGTCAATATGCGAGAGAACAGGGAATGCTATTCTGAGGGTCCTCAACAAACCAGACAAGCGGGCTGACAGAAACCTCATTAACCAAAGCGTATACACCATTATGTACCTGAGACACAGTCGCCCCACACAACAGGCAGGTTGGAACCAACTAGGTGGAAAGCAGCTTTACAGGAAACAACCTGGGAATGCTCTTGCACTGCAATTTGAACAGGATTCAGCAGTATGCCCTTGTGAAAAAGGCCGATTGTATACTGAGCTGTACTAACAAGTACATAGCTAGGAGTTCAAGGGAAGGGATTATTCACCTCTGTTGTACACTCAAGGCCATAGCTGAGTTTAATGTTGAGTTCCCCAGTACAAAACAGGTTGACACGCTGCAGCAAGTCCCGTGAGAAGCCACAGAGACAGGGAGGTGGAGTACACGATGTCTGAGAAACTGTGAGAGCTGAGTTCAGCCTTCTAAGAGAGAATGGTGGGGAAGGGGAAGGTGGCGGTAGGCATGGGGTGGGGAGGCACTGCTACTATCTCCACCTATCTAATAAGAAGGTATAGAGAAGACAAAGTCAGACTCATCTCAGCATCACGCAGCAGGAAAAGCGCCAATGGTCACAAATTTCAACAAGACATTCTAAATAGCTCTTCTCCACTGTGAGGGTAGTTTAAGACTGGAACATCTTGCCCAGAGAGATTGTGTCCCTAGCTTATCTAGATAAAGTCCTGAGCAAACCACGCTACTTTACCCTGTTTTGAGCAGGGAGTTGGACTTCCAGATGCCCCTTCTAGACTACATGAGTCTAAAATCCTAAATGGACCTCTTGCCAAGCAAGATAGTACCACCACAGCAGGCACTTTTGATGTTACATCATATACAGTGTTTGTTGATACAGACTTTGAGAGATGCTGCTGCCAGTGAAGCAAATACTAAGGTTTATTAAAAGCTGCGAAGTAGTAGTTGGAAAGGGATTCTGCCACAAGTTTTTCACAAGTTGCAGAAAGTTTTAAACAGATTAAGAACTCTACATTCTCCTTTTCTGCACTGTCCCAGAGTATGCAAGCAGAAAAGCATAATGAGAAGCATCCAATACACACTGCACTGCTCTTCCACTCTTTTAGTTTTAACACTGAAGTTTTAGCCTGTTACATAGCAGATGATGATTATAAACACAATTAGCAAACAGTTAATTTACAGATTGTCTCTTGAAGACTTCCAAGTAGAAGTTCCACCTAGACATTTGCTAGCTAATGATACTAATCCACTAATGACAGAGCTCCTTAAGAGCATAAGTATGTGCCACCACAAAATAGATGAAGGAATCAAAACATGACACTGGTGTAGGAATTTTAAAAAGCATATCTGCTCTCACATGCGCATTTCTCTCTGTCACACACTGACATGTCATCCTATCACTGCCCCCAGATGTCCTTCCATAGGAAGGTTCTAATACATTGCCACATCAGTACAATGCATAGTCTTGGGGGCTCAGCAAACAGAAAAAATATGACTGAAATTATGAGACTACAGTGAGCAAATGTTTATGTGCTTTGCTTTCCATCTGACCCTTCAGCAGAAGTTAATAACTACTTGACACTATTTTTAGATAGAGGTTGGAAAAGATGCAGCTTGTTTACCCTTACACCTACATAAGGAAGCAACATAATTCAACTTACCCATTACATAAAGGACTAAAATCCACGTGATGTCTAATTTTCCTGAGTGAAGAAACAGTTTGTTATGAGGCTTCAAGGTCCCAGAAAAAAAAAACAACGAACAAACAACAATTATGTATTGTAAGTAGTTGGTTGTTCGTTCATCCATCCATCCATCCATCCATCCATCCATCCATCCATCCATCCATCCATCCATCCACAAGGAAATATCCTTCTCAGTTCACAACAGTCTCTTTTTCTTCAACGTTAATCTGTACCCTTTGCCTCTGTTTTAAAGCTTTCCAACACAGCTCAGCACTTACCACTTAAGTAATTCAGAACAGCTGTGGGTAAGAAAAGAGGGATCACCTTTCTTCTTAAACTTACATGTCTCAAAAACCCAGTTGCACAGTCATTTGGATCAGCAAAACTTCAACTGCTATGTTTAGTGTTACAACACATCACCACTTTAACAAACACTGTTTCCAAGAATATAAGGTGGTGGGGTTTTTTTTACAAATGAAACTGGTAGATTTTGATCAATTATTTTCACAATGCATTTGTTTAGCTTTTACTCAACTTGGTACATTCAAATTTGGTACCCAGCGACATACAAACTGCAAGAATTAACCATTACCTTTACACTAATGACTGTAGTTATATGTATACATAGGTTGAAAACTGTGTATACCCTTTTGCATTATTTGAATCAGTTGAGAAACACTGATTTTTTTTATTATTGAAAACAAACTCCTTTTACATTTTCCAGAAAAGGTAATACCATCTGCATTGATCCCTGGTATCATTAAATGATTTACGGCTCTGCTACAAATTCACAGAATCACAGAATCACAGAATCACTAAGGTTGGACAGGACCTTCAAGATCATCAAGTCCAACCATTAATCCAGCGCCACCATGTTCCCTAAACCATGTCTTGAAGCACCACATCCACACGTTTTTTGAACACTTCCAGTGATGGTGACTCCACCACCTCCCTGGGCAGCCTGTTCCAATGCCTGACCAACCCTCTCAGTGAAGAAATTTTTCCTAATATCCAAAATAAACCTCCCCTGGCGCAACTTGAGGCCATGTTTCCCTTAAGAAGAAATACCTCTAACAAGTGGCAGTCCCAGTGCTACAGCTGCTGTGTTTTGTTATCCTGCCTCTGTGATTATGAGTTACAGTGTTAGTTCCAATGCAGGTCTTCATCTGGGAGATGCTGTCCCAAGCCATCTTTTAATAGGCACCACTAAGCGCAGCTGTATTTTTTTATCCACCAAGTACTTCAGAGATACAAATAGAAAAAAAACCAAATTCATTCCTTCTTCAGGTAGTTTACAGGTTCATTGTACTAGCTAAAACTTATATGAAGATGGGAAAAGAGAGAGAAAGCTGGAAATCGGTACATTAGCTTTCTAATTTCTGCATGGTCACATCCTAGGCCTTGAATAATGCCCTTTCATAGTTAAAGGCATGTGAAAGAGCTATCTTCTCACTATGCCTCAGCTCTCACATCTTACAAAGCTGCAGTAGAGACTTTACCTGAGGAACCCAATTCTTAACCAGCACTTGATGACTGTGGACTCTTACAAGGTACCATGTCTCAGTTCACAAATCAAATGCATTTACCTTTGTACAGTACATAAAAGGACTGTTCTCCTAGATGTCTGTAAGATGTAAACTTCATGTGGAAGGGATTTTAATG